ATTGGAATGCAAAGGTTGGGAGCAAAGAGGAAGGATCAGCAGTTGGAAAATATGGCCTTGGTGATAGAAATTATGCTGGAGAACTCATGACAGAATTCTGCAAAACCAATGATTTGTTCATTTCAAATACATTCTTTAGACAGCATAAGCATACAAATTAAGTATGGTGAAAGAATACAACCCAGGCACACACCTTTCCTAAATTTAAATCATTCAGTTTTCCCTTGTCTGTTCGAACAACTGCCTCTTGTTCTATATACAGGTTCTTCATGAGTACAATTTAGTGTTCTGGAATACTCATTCTCTGCAATGTTGTCCATAACTTGTCATGATCCACACAATTGAAAACCTGTGGGTAAATATCTTTCTGGTATTCTCTGATTTCAGCCAAGTTCAATCTAACGTCAACAATGATAGCCCCCGTTCCATCTCTTCTGCTGAATTTGACTTGAACCTCTGTAAGTTCTCTATCAATGTATGGTTGCAGCTGTTTTAGTATTATCTTTAACAAAATTTCACTTGCAAGTGATATTAATGATATTGTCCAATGATTTCCACTCTTTGGAATGGGCACAAATATGGATCTCTTCAATTGACCAAGTAGTTGTCTTCAAAATTTCTTGGCATAGATGATTGACTACCTCAAGTACCACATGAATTTGTTGAAAAATTTCCATTTGTATTCCATCAATGGCTTGAGAGTAAGGCCCAAAAGCCAAACCTGTTGCCCTCTTGTTCATCCCAATTCATAGCAAACCTACAGGACAAAGTAGAAATGTCCCATAAGGCTTCCAAGCCTGTAAATCTTTATAGAAGTGGGCTGCCACATCTGTCTCCTGAGGGGTAACTGATGTGACTAACCACTAAACTTTGGTTGGCAACCAAAAGCTTAACCATTGTGGCATCAGGGATCCTTAAAAGTAGGACGAAGAGACCGAAAACCAGACCATTTACAATCAAGTTGATTTCAACCCATGGTAATCTGATGTGTTTCATTGTAGAACTGTACTCCATGGAGTTTTCAATAGTTACAATCTTTCAGAAGTAGATCAACAAGCCTAACTTACAACACACTTCTAGGTGGATTCAAACCATCATTCGTTTTGTTAGTAGCTGATCCCTTAACTGTTCGCATCAGCCAGGGCAATTTTTGATTAAATATAAATTCTGCGTCCTTGCCTTGTTGTTGTCAGGTGCCATCGAGTCGGAACTGAACCATAGCAACCCATGCACAGCAGAATGAAACAATGTCTGATCCTGGGCCAACCTCACTACTGCTGCCACACTTGACACCATCAATGATGTCACCTGGCCAATCCATCTCTTTGGGGGTTTCCTCTCTTTCTCTGACCCTCCACCTTACCCAGCATGACATCCTTCTC